TTCCGTTTTCCCAGGTGAGCGCCGACTCATTTCGCTTCAGTATTCAGAAATGCTCTCGATCTCTTTACGCTTTCATTGCCTTTCGCCCGACATGTTTTGCATGGCGTTAGTCATGGGAAACCTCCACGAAACATCCACGCAGCGCGCGAGGTAACTTTATCCCGATTCTAAAAATAACTCGAGACGAATTACCTATGGAATAGGGTGTGTATGGGGGATGCCTTCTCTGTCCCCTTTATCCTCTCTTGAACAGAAACTAATAAGGGTTGAAACATGTAACTCCCGTTCAATGCTCGTGAATATTCATTTTTCTAAGTGGAAACCGATTCGCGTGTTATCCGACTGTAACTTTAAATTATTGCTTCGAATCAATACCACATGTTTCTTCTGTAAGTTTCTGTCTTTCGGGCCGGGATCCGGTAAAAAGATAGATTCAGAGAATTCCGAAAATAATTTGTGCAAAGAGGCACGCAGCAACCTACAGGCGTCATATTTTGGCGAATTTGTCTACCCAAGCGATCCTAAAACGCTCAGCGCACAGCAATTCATTCCCAGCCTACTCAGGTTTCTGCAGTTGGCTATGTTTTTTTTCCAAGTGTAGCACATGTCGTGGGTCTTTGGTTATGGGTAGAGGTCGTGGGTCGTGGGTGGAGGTAAATGTCGTGGGTAAAAAAAAGTATAGAAAAAATAAAGTGACGTAATCGAAAAACAACAACGCGATTATTCACCCCTTAGGCATTTTCACGTAGTAGTCGGGCACTGACGGCCTAAATAACGATTTAAAATCTCTATACAAACTCTTGTAATATTTCTGTTAAGCAACAACGATTTAGCGATTCTCACTCGTGAGCTTTGGGTACCTGTGCTATTTTTTGCTTTGCTGACCGCGGGAAAGGGGATGGGACTGGTGTGTACGCAAAGATTTTCTTTTAATGAATTTTACAGCTTTCTACTTTTTAATATAATTATTGTTTTGGGTTCAATTTTTTAAACTTTTTTTTCAATACTTTTTTATACCCTCGACATTTAGATCCATTAAGCTTTTTTTTTCTCGTCCCATGACCAACACAAATGCTAACATTCTCGACGCCAGTGCATACGCTTTTGACTCCACGCCGTCATGGCGCACAAGAGCTCTGGGGTCGAGATTGGACCAACATGACGAATCCTAAATTGATGAAAAATACGCATGCACTACCCGTTCCAGTCTGCTTGCAGACCGATTCCACACCCAAAAGGGGCGGCGTTTCGCGTTTACATGATGCCGTTGCGAAATTTCGTACCGGAGTGATGGTTCTTGCTCCGATACAAGAGGGTGCTAATGGGGGTACCCATTTCTCAGTTAACTACTATTTTTTTCGGCCAAATATCAATTAACTACTATTTTTTTGGCTAATTCTCAGTTAACTACTAATTTTGGTTAGGTATTAACTTTCACTTTCCTACAGCGAATATTATTCCGTCATAACCCGAATTTTCCTTCTTTGAGCAAGTCGATCACTTTTGGGAGTAGGCCCTGATAAAATCAAGGTATAAATTTACATGAACTCTGCCACTAGTACAATTTATTAGTAACTGAAAATATAAGTCGTATAACCATCAATATGACACGAGCCTCATAGATCCAGACGCACCAGTCATGACTCGTACTGATCTTTCCGACAAAATATAGTCTTAAATAACAAAACTGGACCACTATTTCTGGAATTCAATTGGTGAATTCAATCACTGTTTGCACCGATGGGAGAGACATAGTTGAGAGTGCTGACAAAGGCGTGAAAGTATTTGACATGGGACAATTCGACTTCTATTTTCTGAGTGTAGCCTTCTTCGAACTCGTAGTTTTTTTTAAGCGATTCCTTTACTGTGGTCCCAAAGTCTTGGGCGTAGTTCAAAGAACTAAATGTTTTGTGTTGAAGTGAGAAACCGCATGTAGGTTTTCGACCTGCGTTGTCAGAAGGTTTTTTTTACCTCGATACAGATTTTGTTAGCATCCTCTTCCGCGTCCCGCAAAGTTACCTTTTTCGCAGACGTACCTTATTCGCGTTTTTCAAAAGCCTCATAAAGATATCCAAGGGTTTTAAGAAATGAAACTGCCCGAACTGTTTCAGTTAGAGCGGTTTAAGCACGATCATTTCTTTCTATTAAGAAGGTCTCGATAGTTAGAACTCCGACATCAGTTACAAAAATGATTTCTCGTAAGTACAAATTCCATGTACCAGGGCCTGCGCAGGGGGAGGGGCTGGCGGGCCAGGCCCCCCCCCGCCAATTTTGAAAAAAATAAAATAAATAAAATTAAATTAAGAAATACACATTTTCAAATAAAAGGAATCTTTAATGGATCAAGAATATTCAACTGGCAGACCTCGCCGAAGAATCCAAGTTAATGATTAGTCCGTCTCGGTCCTATATCATATGGTAAGCCTTAAAACGACTATCTCTTCAAACTCTGCACTTAGTCGTAGACTTCTGCGTTTTCATGTAGTATATGCACAAACAATGGAGACTTTTTTTTTACCAAGGTTCTTAAATCTGCACAGAGCTGCGACTTCTGAAAACAAATTGAACTCGATGACGTTGTAGACAACATGAAGAAGTTTCAGGAATTACCTCAGCAGAGTGCGATAAATGAAATTGTCCCGATCTGCAAGTTTCTGCTGGTAAATCCTGCAACCATCACAGCAGGAAAAGGTAGGTCCTTTTCAGCGGATGGAAGGTTAAACAATGACTAAAGAAAGGTTCTAAACAGCCGCAAGGATAGGGCGGACAAACTTTTGAAGTAAATGAAACACGCGAAAATCATGATTGTCCTGTGCATGGTTACACTTTTTTGTTACTAACTCCTTTCTTGCATAATTTGTTAAACTATTAAAAAGAATGATTGATGAGTTGTAACTCAAGAGAGGATAAAGGGGACAGAGAAGGCATCCCCAATACACACCCTATTCCATAGGTAATTCGTCTCGAGTTATTTTTAGAATCGGGATAAAGTTACCTCGCGCGCTGCGTGGATGTTTCGTGGAGGTTTCGCATGACTAAACGCCGTGCAAAACATGTCGGGCGAAAGGCAATGAAAGCGTAAAGAGATCGAGAACATTTCTGAATATTGAAGCGAAATGAGTCGGCGCTCACCTGGGAAAAGGGAATCGCTGAAGTCTTTGACAACCCGTGAAATCAGGTTAACTCGAAGTTATAGTAACCTTAGTGCTTTAATAAAATGAGAAATTTCGCCGGTCTATTGAAACCGGTCGTTTGTATAATAAAGAAAGTAGGACGCCAAGTGTTATTTTTGTTGAATAATAAGAGACTAATAAAAGAATAAATATCAAACCAGAAATTGCTTTCTTCAAAATGTAAATTATAAATGATCCTGAGAGAATATTCAGTGAGTTATTAAAGGATTTTCCTGCTGTACTGTTAGCTCTATACAAGAGAGGAAGGGCGATTCTTTTTTAATTTCCGTTTCGCTGACACAGCTTTAGCAGAAATCTCTCTTTAGTCGATTTCGTCGACAAAACAAATAGCAATATCGCTCTCCGCGTCAATTCGTGAAGGGCACGTGGTTCTGAGTGTGGGTCATCCACGCGGAACACAATCGCGCTATGTGATTGGCTGTTTTCTAACCCCTCTTGGGACCTATGGTCTTAAAAGTAACTCGAGACGAATTACCTGTGGAATAGGGTGTGTATGGGGGATGCCGTCTCTGTCCCCTTTATCCTCTCTTGTTGTAACTGTATTAAAAAATATTGAGTCGGCAACAACCCCACAAACCCCTCTCTCACCTCCCCAACTACGCTTCAAAAGGGGTAGACGACCCCCGCACGTTGAAAACTGCTCGGCGGGCCCTGTGAACTTGAAAGAAAGACTGCTGATTTCTTTGAACCCTCAGAAATTCTTTTTAGCTAGAACCAATGCTAAGAGTCACAACTTTTTTATTTGGGTAATGTTTAACTTAATTGACGATCTGTTGGGTCCGTGAAAACAGTATTTTCCTTTTCCGAACACAGAAATCTCGTTAATATCAGAACGACGAATTATTCGTTGAGTTGTCTACAACCAGCTCTTTGACTTACGCTTTCTATTTGTCAGGTACTACCCTGGTGTGCCTTTTGCACATACAGTCGACTCCCGATAACTCGAACCCTCTATACCTCGAACCTCCCGCTAACTCGAAGCAATTTTCATTTCCCCTCAGATCGTTTTCTATATAATTTTACCCTCGATAACTCGAACTCCCGATAACTCGAACTGTTTTCTATTTCCCTTGAAGGTTCGAGTTATCGGGATTCGACTGTAGTAATATCAGTTAATGTGCCACCTGGTCATCAGCGGGACAGACAAATGTCAGAAAATAACATTTCTGTTTGCAAAACTTTGTTCCTTTCATTAATATAATATCACTTAACTGTTAACTTTTCATTTATCAGTTAACTACTATTTTTTTGGCCAATTGTCAGTTAACTGTTAACCCCATTCGCACCCTCATACAACAACCGGAGTGAACTCACGCTGTGACCCGCACCAGCATTTTGTGGTGGTATCATGTGAACAAATACAGAGCCCCGGTGTCATGTAAACACCCCCTAATTCCACTTTTTGTAGTGGGCGAAAACACAAGACAACGACTTTCTTTTCCTCAATTTCGATACAGTCTTTAGAATAGAACACCAGAAACATTTGCTAACATTTGACGAACTGAACGAGTTGGAATAAGCGGCATAGAATTTGAAACAGTGTGACATTTTCGTTGTTGTCTATGCTCCCCATTTTTTATGTCACGTCGTTTACCTAGTTTGAGTGGTAAATTATCTCTTTTTCTCCTTCCAAATATAGTACTTGCGAAAATGAATATTCGTGAGCACCGGGCAAAGCAAATATATGAGCGTTACACGTTTAAACCCCTTACGAGTTTCTCATTAAATTCAATTACGCTCCATCTGATGACTACAGCGACACCCACCCTCAAAGTAACGAGCGGCAGATAATCAGAACGGTAAAACTCAGTCAATTACCATCATGTCGCTTATTAACACAATGTTTTGGAATTCAGACCTAAACATGTTCATTGCAACCGGCTGCAGATCGAAATCTTCCATGAATCCATCGATATTAAAGCCACATCGATTAGTGATCTGAATTCTGTTCACCAGCCTTACTTTCTGTTTGAACACGAAGAAATAAAAGCGATGAATTCCTTGACCTGGTTGAGGGTTAGGTGGGTTGTATTCTAGGAAGTAAAAGAAAGGAAGAACCTTGTCACTCAAAAGAAATTTTATTTGAGTGATGTCAGTGATAGCTAACGTTGTATTAATTTATAAGCCGTGAAATAATCTCTAGCACAAACTATTTGCGGCGGATTATTGAGGGGTGACCAGGTGGGCAGGTGGGTGGGGGTCACTCACTTGGCCTACTCGGGTATGTTCCGCCACCCGAACAGAGTACGAGTCTTTTAAAACGATTCAATTGCGAATGGTTAGCGGAGATAACTTGGCCATCTTTCTTTTTATTGCCAAGTTTTAGGCAGGACTTTCTGTGAAATCGTGCTGATTTACGAAGCAATTGTTCATAGTGTTCCCAAGGGAACTAAGAGATAATCAATTTCTGTGACAGTCTCTTATTCGCCACTTTCACAATGCCCATATTTCACCCTGCTTTCTCCTACATTTTTGTATAGGCATTGTTTTCAGTATCCCCTGCGGTATGAAAGCCGCGCCGAGAGAAAGCGAAAATAACGCTTATGCAAAATTTTGAGGGGTAAACAAGATGTATTGTGGGCAAATGATAATGGTGACAATATCAAAACGAGGTTAAATGCTCAGCCTTTGATATGGAAATGATTTTTCATTCTCATGCAAATAAGACTCATTTTCACGAACACGGCTTTTCACTTAGCCTCATTATGGAAGTGAGGGTTTTTGGAACTCGGAAGTGTGCTGCGTGAGGTTCCGTTTTTTGTTACGTGTCTGTAACAGCCAGGCACTCCTCAACAAACTGACCTCCATAGATATTTCCTCCTCGGATCTTACCATAGGCCAGATACTTCCCCTGCGAATTGAGAAACGGTTGTTAGAGTTGTACAACAGAGCAAACAACAAAAAAGATATTTAATGTTTGAGCAGTAGGATTTTACGATCAGCACGTTAACAGGGCCCTGAATTTCATCCGATTACTTCGAGTCGTTATTGACTCCCTCAGTAAGTTGATGAGAGGAGAAAACGACTCGAAGCAATCGGATGAATTTCAGGCTAGTTAACAGGGAAGTTATACATTGAAGGCGTAAAAACAGAAAGGAGACTCCGCTCGTTTTAACACAAGCTGGCACAAAGCTCAATTATACATCTTTTTCGGTATTTTACTCTAAGTAGGTCAAAGTATTACCGAAAGTCAAAATTTCTAATCAATATCAAAAGAACTAGCCTGGGAACGGTGAAAAGGGGAAAGAAGCATTCCTCGCCCCCGCTCCCTAAGTAGTTTTGACAGTCATTGAAGATGGCGGCCCGTAACGCAAAGCTCTCGAGCTCGATCTCGATGATCTTACGGAAAAATAGAGGACTGTGAACAGTCTAGAAATGACTTCACAATCTCGTCGTAGTCCTTGCGCCATTGCAACCCGCCGAAACGAAAATTTCACGTCTTTAAACGACTAAAACTCAAAATGAAAAACAGCGTCAAAATTAATTATTTTTGCTGTCATTATTAGGATACTATATAGATCTTACTAAGAAAATATTATACAGGTAAATGAAAATGTATGTGCACTTTTTATTTTGTCATTAATGTAACAGTTCAAAAGATTCAATGGGTTTAGGTTGGCCGTTTGTTCGGCAGTATCTTTAAGTTGTTCAAGTGTGTGCGGGTAATATTAGAGAGATCTAAGATTCACTTTTAAGGCAAACGTCAGATTTAAGTTGAGAACTTCTCAGAATAGAAAATAAGATTAAAACTGTCCAGAACAATTCTTACGGATAAAACTGGCGTGAAACTACTTATTTTTGAGTAGAAGTAATAAACATTACACTACAATTAAGGGAAAAACTTGGTCACGTGGTGGTACCAATTCACGTTTGCCGTTTGGCGTAAACGTGAATCTTAATTTCTCTATTACTAAGGTTTAGTCTTTTTGTAAGGAATTAGACTGACCTTAACATTACCAAAAATAAAGTGAACCCAGTGGCGACAATGTGGATTACGAAAGGAGGGTGTGTCAGGATCCAACATGGCAACCAAGTAAAGAGTTTCGTTGTCCTGAGATAAAAAAAAGATAATGGAAAGATAAGGCTAGAATATAATGACACTACTGCATCAAATACGAGGAGAGTTACATCTGATATCCATAGCATTCGAACAACAACAGAGTCGCACCCTCCTTTCTGAAATGAACCAGACATTTCAAGTGTTTGGATATCAGATAAAACACTCTTGAGAGTGTTTGATTGCCCGGCTTTATAAATTATTCGTGAAGAATTTGCAGGGCAAAGTTTGCGATCGCGTTTGCAAACTTATTTACGGTTGTACTTTCAAGTTTGTTTTCTCTTTATAAATTCAGACCGATTAGTGTTTGACAAATTTCCGAGTTTTATAGCTTACTGGACTACGCTTACTCAAATACGAGGGGAAGGGTTACTGATTTCAAAATTCCGGCAGCATCACAATTTTCACCTCATTAAATTTGATGCAAGACCGAATGCGCTTTTCATTTTGCGTTAGAGATAGCATTAATAAAGCTAAAATATTGACAATATATCTCTCCTGATACAGAGTGAATATGGAGTCTTGTACTGGGGTTCTAACCTTAAAGTCTTTGGAGGAAAGCCTTCATTAAATTGTGTCCATTCAAATAAAACCTCTTCGGTAGTAGTTTCACAAGGTATAATTTTCTAAAAGGTGACATTTGCTTTTTCCTCTACGTTTTTCATGTTTCGGTCACTTCTGGGAGTGAACTAGAGTCAAAGAGGATAAAAACTGCAAAACCAATTGAACGTACCTGCGAAAACTTTACGACCGGAATGTCCTTGTTCACCTCATCAATAGGGACCATTTCGCCACAGTTTCTAGAATTAAACGTCTTCTCACCGATAATTACTTCAGCAATTGGCAGCTCCACGCCGTCATAGCGAAAGTCTTCACACAAGTCTTGTGAGTTAGAATGGCTATCCTCGAGAAGACGAAGAGTATAAGTCGGAACAAAAACAAGTGAAAAGATAAACATTTTGGACGAGTTCATTGTGTTGCCGAGGCAAATGAAGACGGCCTCTGTCTAGGCCGAATAGTCAAATTGTTTTCCCTTGCGAGAAAGACGTGTACACATAACACGTGCCGCACGTGAGCACGTGGTCTGCACAATTCTTTGTATCATACGAAAGCACTTTTTTATGGCTTTTTGGGCTGTTTAGGAAGATTCTAGAAGGCGGAACAAGTTTACGTTGGGTTTTCATGCAGAAATTTCTGTTCGTGTGGTGCCCAAGAAGAGAAGGATCGAGAAAGAATGAAAAATGGCGGGCGAGAAAAAGAAAAATGCAATTTGGGCCCTTCTGTTCTCTTTGCTGGCGTTAATAACTACCGAAAAATTCCGGAAATAAGCCTCTCCAAATATACGCCCCCCCCTAAACTGGTAACGTAAAAACCCGCCGTTAAATTGCCCCTCCAAATATAAGCCCCAAGGGGGCTTGTATTTGAAAAATTGCCCGCAAATTCAAAGTAAAACAAAGCAAAAACGGTAAATTTACTTCCAACTATAAGGCTAGCCCAATCGATTCTGAAACGCAACTTTCTCTCCGTAGACAAGCCCCTCAAAAAGGGGCTTGGATAAATATGTCCCGGGGCTTATTTTCGTAATTTTACGGTACTTGTCAGCACAATTACCGCTACTATCAGCTTTTGGTAACGCCAAACGAAATGGGCGGCCTTTATTGCCCTGATTAGCTACTGAAAGACCCACTGCAATTTTTGTCTGGTTTGGCCCTAGTACTAGGATCTTCCTAGCGAAGGCAGTTTACATATATGGTGCCCAGGGGACAGGGATGATCGAATGGGGGTAGAAAATTTAACCCCCCAAAAATATCATGGGCCAAAATTTAACCCCCATAAAATCCCATGCCGAATTTCCGAGCCTAAAAATTTCCAGAGGAACTACGCAGCCGTGATACGCGGGAACTATCACTAATCTTCAGATTGTTTTGAATACCCAAAAAAATCCCTACTTAAATCAAGCTACCCAAAAAAATACTTGCCAAAATTGTCCTACCCAAAAAAATCCCGAAATTGAAAATTTCCACCACCCCCAAAATCCTTCGATCATCCCTGTCACTTGAAATCCGGAGTACCCCCTGGGATATGGTGCTGGGGTCTTCCTCCCTCCACGTAAATAGCCGCTTTGTCTACACTTTTCGTGCCAGCTATCAAGCTTGGTGCACGTTTGAACGTAGCTACATTAAACGTTTGACCGGTTTCAAACTATGCGCAACAACTTCCAACAACACACAAGAACATGCAATAACATGCAACAGGACGTGTAAACGGACGCAAAATGTAACAACTAATAACGTTCGTAGCTGTTGGTCAACAATGTTGCGTCCGTTATTGAGGATTAACTCTCACAATTTCTTGTTCTTTGATAAGGAAGATGAGGGTAACAAAAACGAAATTGCAGGTAAAATTAAGCAGACAGGCCTTTTACTTTAATGAAAACTAAACATCATCACATATGGCTATAAAAATAGTCAATACCGGGCCATAACGTACTGTGAGAGTAAAATGTGATTTGCCATTCCACAAAGAGCTGAGTCAGCAAGATTCTCGTTTAATCTTTACGACTCCAAATGTTATTTGTTAGGTCAAAAGGAAAAAGTACTGAAAAATCTACTCAGAGAATGTAACATCGAATCTTGTAAAGAGAGTTCTTTCAGGCCAGTCGCCATTTCTAAACGCTCACACACTAACAAAAATAAAGTATGGTCGAAGCAAAATTGATACTCGGATCTACATGTAAATAACTTCCACACAGCACGACAGAAAACACGAAAGACTTGTTCAAAATAGCAATAAGATGGAATAAAGGAAACTAAATAAGATATTTACTGTAAATGCTTTTTTCTCGCCCGAGACATCAATACTTTTCTTTGTAATGGCTTTAGGAAAAAATAAAAAACACCGCAATTTACTCGAACCAAGAAACTAAATTCCTCTCATTCAATGAGTAATGATCAGTCTGGTGCATTTCCAGTGAAATAGTGCCAAGAGCTGAAAATCCCGCTTAAGTTTGCTAACTGATTAATCCTACTGATTGACCAGAATGGAAAGAGTATTACACGAGTTGTCCAAACAGATCTTGCTTCAGTTTTAAACTGCCGTTACTTCTGATTGGTAAAAAGGGTGTTTCTTTATCACTTATGACGTTAAAAGAGGCAACGTTAAAACAGCAACAGGCAATCCAAGCTGATCTGCGAAAGAGCTGTGTCCGTAAAGGCTTTAAAGCACCTTGTCATGTGCATCATGAAGGTTCAAAATGTTCGTAATCGGTAACAATTCTCCTTTTTCATCCCTGTACTTTTCTTCGAACTTTCTAATGTCACTGTTACACTCGTACTTAAAAATATCCACTATTTTATTCCAGCGCGAAATCTTGCTACGCTGGCTGGCTTTTTGAGTAGGAGTCCATTGACAGAGTGGAGGCATGTCTCCCATGCCATTCTCCCACAAGTAGATGACATCGAGTGCGGTGACCTTCTTTGGAAGAATAAATTCTGCGCCCACTTTTTGAGGCGAAGAATCCCCTCCTACCATTTCCGAATCACTAGCAAACTCTTTATTTTCATCTTCAACTAACTGATCGTTCTCAGAGCGTACAGCGGTGAGCGACTCTTCCACTCGCGTAATGTGATCTTTTCCTGCCGTGTTAAAGCTAGTTAGACTTGACGCGAAACCTTTCGGCAAGTACGATGGTGGCTCGTTTTCCAGATCGTATTTGGACAGGATAGCGGAAACCGGCAATAGTTCACCTTTCGGATTACTAAACCTCTCCTCAAACTTCTCCCAGCTTCCACCGCAATCCTTGCGAAAGATGTCCACGATCTTCTTCCAGCGGAAGAGTTTTGTTTCATGACCAACTTTGTGAATCTTCTGCCATTTACTTACGGGTGGGAATAATTCGCAGCCTTCTTCCCACAGCTGCACTACTTCCTTGGCAGTGACCTTGCGCGGGAGCTGGTAGATCTCGGTATCAGATCCTTCTCCGGCTTTCTTGCCGGTTTGCATTGTACCTGAAAAAGGACTGGACAGACTGGAAGGCGATTCGCAAGCGTCAAACATGGCAACGATGGTGGTAACAGGATACAATTCGCCGCGTTCATCAGAAAATTTGGACTCAAACATGCTCATGTCCCCTTTACAGTGGTACTTGTAGATGTCGTATATTTTGGTCCAACGTGAAAACTTACTGCGCTGTCCAGATTTTTGAGCCGGGGTCCACTTATGGAGCGGTGGTAGATCCCCATATCCTGTCTCCCACAACTTTATAATGTCTTTAGCGGTGACTTTTCGGGGTAAAATGTGACTGGTTCCTTCCCCAGGGTTAGGATCTTCAACCTTAACTTCACCAATGCTGTTCAAAGGCGTTGTACTGGTGGCAGACAATTTTTCACTCTCTAAACTGCTATCTTCCTCTTTGCTCCCTGCGATTAAGCGGCTTCGAGCTTCAGGGATATCGAAAATGGGACCAGAGGTTGCGTTTTCAGCGTCGTACTTTGCAATAATCGATGAAATTGCCATGAGATGACCGCGATCGTTCGCATACTTTCCATAGAAGTGATCCCAGCTCCTGTTACAGTCCTTGTTAAAAATCTCCACGATCTTGCGCCACCGAAATATTTTAGTCTCTTGACCAATTTTTTGCGCGCGTGTCCACTGGCAGACAGGAGGGAATTCTTCACAGCCCTCTTCCCAGAGGCGAACAATATCCTTTGGCGTGACTTTCCTGGGAAGATAGTAACGCACTTCAGTGGATGGCTGAGTCACACCACTGTCCGTTACTTTGGAATCAGCGTTACCTTCGCCGTCCTCGACATCTTCGGATTCAGAATCCAATGAGTTACGAACTCGTTTCTTGCCTTCGTCGTCGGCTTCTTGTTGGCTGTTGTCTCCGCTCGAAGAAACAGTTTCATCAAGCTCTGTTCTGCTTCTACCGAGAAAGGCTGGCGTTTGCTGCGTTTCATACAACGACAGTATCGTTGTTACAGGAAGAACTTCTCCTCTCGCATCCGAAAAACTCTCCTCGAAGCTCTTCATGTCGCCGTGATAATCAGCCTTGAAAATATCCACGAGTTTTTTCCACCGGGAAATCTTGCTCTGTTGCTTTAGTTTTTGCGTAGGTGTCCAATCTTTTATCGGTGGGAACTCATCGCATCCATTTTCCCACAGATTAAGCACTTCTTTTGCCGATACTCTCCTGGGCAATTCGTAGCTTTGCACAGCTGGTTTAGACGCTTGCTGTGAGAGCCCAAGAAAAAGCTTCCCACTTATCTGGGGCACTTTTGGAGTGGGTGAGGTAGGAGACGCCCCTGAAGGTTCCTTTTGGTTAGTGGTATCGTCGAGGACCTCTTGAGGAGTTGTCGGCGTAAGGCGTTGAATAATGGGTCCTCCACTAGCTAATAAATGGTTTTGTGCTTCCACGAGGTCCGACAGCTTCTTGTAAGACTCTTCCAAAGCTAGATTGCGGTTTTGGAGAACCTTAACCTGAAGTAAAAGACAAATAAACAGGATACTTAAATTATTGTCATGTAGTGCACCAGACGAAATCTAAAAAGTTCAAAGCCCGGCCTTAGTTAACACTTAAAACCAGTATCCATCATACAGTGTAGCTGTACCCTTAAAAGCAGGAATGACAAAATGGATGAAATTCGCCAATATTTCGCCCATCAGTTACAAGTATATATATCACATACATGACATTTTGACCATTTGCAGCGATACATGTATGTATGCCCTTTGCAGGTCCACACAGTCACAGACACTTTTAGACAATAAGCAAACCCTTATTTCTCCCAGAAAAAGTGGAGCAAGTGAAACACCCAAACGCGCAGGAAATTACCTCCCACGAGAACACGCAACATGCAATTTCTTGCGCACTTGCATCTTTCATTTGGCTCACATCTTTAAGAAAATTTAAGGAACTCTTCATGGTCCGTGAAAATTGCGCGGCGAAAACCCACAAATAAAATGTGAAAGCATTAGAGAGTATTTAAGTAGAAGATGTTGATCGGGTTTAAAAATGACGTCACGTTTATCTATGGTCAATCACAAGTGCAACAAAAGCGACGGTAATGCTCTACGAAAAACATGAAAAATTCAAATCTTTTGCAAAAAGGGTGTGGTCGCAATAACTTGTTACCCAAACAGTACCAAATGAAAAAGCCACTGTTGATTTTTACTGTTTCATAAACTCTATGAGCGTATAGGAAGTATGGGATGCTCTACATACATAAGGTCAGCAGAACAGTCCTCTACTTTTTACGATTAAAAAGGCATAATTATTGCAGTAGCAAATAACATAATATAGGCCAGATACACGAAAACTACACTGAATTCATGTACATGTACACATATATCCGTTATCAAAGGCTAAATTAACCATACAAAGAAGTTCCAAAGGCGACACAATTTTTTTCTTTGTACTAACAAAACTGACTTTAAAAATAATAAAAATGTTGAACCTGTTGTTCAAGGTCCTCAAGTTTTTTCTGAAACTGTAAGGTGACTTGTTCAGCAGACACTTGTTCTGGCAGCACCACATCCTTATTTGGGATCAATCCCAGAGCCACCTGTGGCATTGGGATCGGGCTATTGGCACTCACTTGTACATTGTCTAGTGAATCTGAAATGAGAATCAGAAAAAGGAACAAAATTAATAATTAATTTGTTTGTTCTGTTCTACATGTACATGCAGCTTTGGTGGCAACGTGTTTAGCAAAACCGAAAGTCTTCCCAGTACATTGTAATTCATTAATTTGAACCTCTGGCAAGCCAACTACCCCTCCTTACATAATTATTCCATGCGCAGTAAAAAGGGGAATACATGTAACTTTCAGTAGCCTCGCGTGCAGACGTTCTTGTGGCTCTCATGCCAGGGATATCTGATGAGGCCCTAAGGAGGTCTTCATGGGAGGCTACGGAATATTGTAAGAGATGTGCTAACTTCTTTAGATTGCTGGTAGCCCTTTTTACTGCTAATGGAGACCTATGTCCTCAACATACAACTGTATATGACTACTCAATCAAAACATGAAGGTCGTGATAACAAAGAAATGATCACCCAGTAAAAAAAGTCAGCAAGAAATTCTCCTCATTAGTACAACATGAAATGTATGGAAAACAGTGATGTGAATATGTAAGTTGATATCAGGGCATGAATGTTAATAATATGACATGTATATCACAGTATATTGGGCAGATAACTGATTTAGGTATCCTGGATGTGTTGTCGCTTTTGAGAGGCAGATGATCATGGGCTGATGGGGTATCAACAGTATGAAAGTAATTTGAACAATGTACAGCTGTAGATACCTTCCAGTGCATGTATTACTTCATTGTGAGGATCCTCTATGGCCAGAGGTTGAAAAACAGGCTGTGTCTGGTCATGAATGAGAACATCTCCTCGTGCAGGTGAGGCTATTGGAAAGGGCCCCTCACCAGGCAGGTCATGAAATATCTGCACTGGCATTGAGTCAATATCTTGCTTGATTTCATCACTGATGAATTTGACATCAGATCCAAGGTCTTCCTTTGGAATTTTCCTGACTTCATCGCTGTCATCTTGTTCGGTTTTTCTGAAAAGTTGAAAATAATAAACATACAAAATTTTATACATGTATCTACGCACACTTGTACACTGTAGGTGACAGTGTATAAATTTATTGATAATTATAACTTATTATTATTCATTCAAAATATTTCCCTGATTCTGATTGGCACATGCATAATTCACCACAACCAGCTCCTGATGACCAAATTTGGAAGAATTTAGCGATTAATCAACCCATGACGTCAAAAATGCAGCTTTCTTGCAGGTTAATGCACAGTTAACCAAGAAGACCTGGGAACGAGGTTGAGTTGTTTTGGTTGTGAAAACAAAAATGGTGGACATTTCACTCATTTCAAGAGTAAGAACTAGGCTAAATAATAGCTAAAAACATGGCAAGAACAGTAAGAAGTCCACTTAAAGGATGACATCTGCTATTTGGAAAATATTTGCGGAGTAGAACAACCCTATACATGCACTATGAGTCTATCGAAGATGAACTTAACATCGATAGAGGTAAGCATGTTTTAGCTATGTTTTTAAGCAAGGAATTATTTTGAATGAATAATAAAACAATTACGGTCTAAGGCCTCGACGGATAACACCCTCCTCAATCTCCATAATTCCATGGTCATCATTTGGTCGTGAAAACAAAAGATGGCGGGCATTTCACTCTTTTCAAGAGTAAGAACTAGGCAAAACTATAGCTAAAAACATGGCAAGAACAGCAAGGACACAACTCGAAGGGCAACATATGGTATTTGGAGAATATTTGCGGAGCTGAACAACCCTAAACGTGCACTATTGAAGGTGAACTTAACATCAATGGAGGTAAGCATGTTTTAGCTTTGTCTTTTAACTAGGAATTATTTTGAATAGATAATAAAACAATTATTGAATTCGGCTTTCGTATCATATGAAGAATTATGGAGATCTCACACCCTCCTCGATTTCCGTAATTTTTTATAAAATACTAAGCCTCATTCATTAATTGTTAATTAATTTGCCCTATGTGCACATTTTCTAGCCTGCAGAGCAGGTATTTTTTTTAAAGTGGGACTCAAAGGTACATGGAGAGGGGGCAGGCAAGCAGGAAGGGCGGGCCCTTCCCTATTTTGATGCGTCAACCTCTCCCTTGGAATGATGTTTTGACTCGCCCCAACTCTAGTCAGTCGAACGTCCAAATTGATCACACAGCAAAATATGCCTGCTTTGCAGGCTTCATATTTTCCTGTATGTTCTACTCATGTACATATGTTGCAGTTCATTTTTTATGTTAAGTAATTTTTGTTTTTCCTTTGTTTCAACTTCATTAGCATACAGTACATTATCATACTCCAAAACAAAAGAAAAACAAAAATTTTGTGACATAAAAAAATTAACTTCAACATACATTTTTTGATACAGCATGCTGTAACTAAAGAAACATCAGCCACAAATTAAATTTTTCGAGCAGATGTTACAGCAATATTTTCTGTTTAAAAAGTTAGGAGAGCTTCAAGTAGAGTACATTAAATTTGAGCAGCAGACACAAATTTTGACCCTACAGGCTAATAGCAGTGAAAGCTGATCTTGCAATAATTTTATTTGACCTTATTACTGGACAATTGTGTCCAGCTATTTCCAAAAAACTTTAATGTATTTTTACCTTTTGAAACTGCCATGCTCTGTTGCAACAAGTAAAAAGTCACTTTCATCCTAGGGAGGCAAAGTTATCAAGTGTTACTTGAGTAAAAATTAATACTACTTACATGTACATTGTAACATGGAGATACAATGATTATTTCCACAGTTAAAAATCACAAAATCACAATATCCTTGTACTGGTCAGTATGTATCCTTTTAAATCCCAAGAGTGCTCAACATCAATTTTCTCCAAACGAGATCGATACCCTACATCATCAATGGAAAAGGTCATGAGAAGTAAGAAAGTAATCACCAGAGAAAAAAAGCTTTGATCTTTTACATGGTCCATACAGAATTTTTTGGGAAAAATCAAGCGCTTTTCAAGGACTCAAATTATTTTTTCAAGGACTTTATTTCCACAGGAACATGAAGTAAAGACCTTTAAAATGCTTAGGTGGAGGGGGGTTCGCTTATTGCAATATACTTCAAATAATGGAAAATGAACTATGCCGGCAACACCGAAATCATAAGAAAACACTTTCATGATCACCAAGAAAATTTGTGTATTGCTGTACTTTCAATCATTCCTTTGCGCAAAACATTCTATTTTTAACGAAGGTTATAATTCAACGAGCTTTCAAAACATTCAAGGACTTCTGTGGAAAATTCATAGACTTTTCAAGGATATCCCACAATTTTTAAATTTTCAAGGACTTTTCAAGGCCCGTGCAAACCATGTTTTATCAAATTCTCTCAACTACATGTAATTCTTTACGAAAAATGAAGACCAGTCAAGCAAATATGTACGTGGACATTAATGGGGCTTGAAGGGTTGTTGAGGGTGTTCAACTAAGGCAAATACTTGTAATCATGAAAGTGGGACATAAACAACTTACAGCAAAGAAAAACACACCAATGTGTACATGATGCAGGGCTGTCACTTAGGGTGAATGGCCAGGGGTTTTTCTCAGCTACCATAAGCATGACCCGGCTACTTTCCTACATGTAGCTAATGTTGTCCCCAATTAGCCAACTGTTAAGCTTAATATATTGACACTAAAATATATTATTATAGGAAGCAAATAAAGAGATCTGGAACTTGCACCAGCAGGGCAGGAAAAAAAACTGAACTCTGATTACCCGTGCCAAGTAAATTTTGACCTTGGGCAAGTTAAAAAAGTAGGTCTTGTGGCCCGCTGGACAAGTGAAATTGGCCTCAGTGGTCTTGTGAGTCAGTCTGAAAGTATATGTATCAGCTTGGTAAAGGGTAATTTCCAGACAGAAACGTTTTCAAAACTGTAGACTGCAAGTGAGCGACTGCTTGCTCCTGTTAGAACAATAGATGGATAAGACATGGTATTCCCTTCTAGCAGGTAAATATTTTTAACTGTCGGCAAGTGAAAACTGAAATTTACTTGCCCACTGGCCGGGGAAGTGCATATAAAATTCTATTTCCTGCCCTGACAAGAACTTTGTACTTGTAGTTGTCTAATTTCCTGCCTTTTGATTGCCTAAACCTGGTACATGTAACTTAATGCTTTTGACTGGTTGAAGCGAATTTCCCACACGATATAACCAATCAGAACCAGTCCCTAGATCTGGGTAGGGACGTGTCACGCTACTTTTGAGATAATTATACGCCTGAAAATTTACCGATAACTTAATTTAAATATGCTCTTTAAGCTCATGTTGAGAAAATTTTACAAAAGTGAACTGTTTTCGTGTTTACAAAAAGTTGGTCACATGATCAACTAACGCAAAAGGCCTATTTAAGTCTTGAGCTCAGATTTTGAAGCAAGGGTCTCAGCATCTCGGTGAGACATGGGTTTTACCATTCAACACTCCTCCTTAGGGGGTCCAGTAATAGAGGCCTGACTGGTCTTAGAATTTTTCTAATTTTGGGAGGCGAAAAGTATACCTAGAGACTTAGGAATTAGCCAATAATTATTTGCACATATTGGTGTCTTTTTTTAAAATAAACTACAACAATGCAAACGAAATTTCTGTGAACAGCATTTCGTCAGTGGGCACCTATCCACATTTTTCAGTCAAATGGTTAGCTACGGCGCTCCCTCTCGCCGTTTTTCCTTTGTCGGAAGGGTGCGGCTACACGTAGGCTACTGCCTCTGGATTCCTGGGTTCAATGTCACGCAATACAACAGAAAGACTTTGTTGCGGGGATTCTGTGGAATCTATTTAAGTTTTTGACTGAGCTTTACAACTGACAACCGGGATATGATTCTTTATACCGATTTTACTTAAAGAAGCATAGACCTTATCTTGCCAATTTTTTTCGTAAGGACCACAACCGTAACAAGTTACACCAGTCAAAGAAAACAGCCCGGCCGTGCTTTGACAAATGAAGCAAACGCGTTGAATCAAAATATAATAGGCGGATCAAACCAAAGTAACAAAACGAGCTAATGCTTCGAGCTACGCTGTATGAAAGTAAAGATACAAAACACATTACGAAGTGAATAAAACAGAATATCACTCACCAGTCCCGAATCTGGAATACTGCCTGTGTCGTCTGTAATCTTGGAAATGATCGACTGAAGGTTTTCTTCTCTTCTGGAAGGAAAAGATCAATAAAATCACAAACGGAACGAAGCCGAATCTTTAATCATGGATGCAAAGACAATAACCAGAAAGAAAAGATTACCATTCGCCCGATATATCGCTGAAAAAGAACAAGTGATCAGTTGTCAGTCCTTGTGTGTGTCACTTACCCTGAGCGAGCATCCTGGGAACTTTCCATTTTCTCGTTTTTTGCGAGAGGAGAAAGAAAGAAAACCCTGCATGCATGCAAGTTCGAAATGTGAGAATGAAAGAAAAGAAAGGGCGTTGTCCGAGTGGGAGGATTGGAACTAGTTTGAAAGCGAGGTTGAATCAAAACAAAATGGCGGTCAAAATGGCGGGTTGTGGCTTGAAAAGCTCAGTGGATGATACTTGAAAGCAGACACCTTTAAAAAAATCTGGAGACGCTGTAAGAAATGTCTTTAGCAGCTGCAGACAAGCTGCTCAAGATTTTTGATGCGCTGAAAAATTTCCGCGAAGGAGTTCCTCTTCAGGACCCGAATCCCTTGGCAAAGTAAGTTTTTCCTCCCCTCGAATAGATTAGGGGATGATTATGTTTTAGTCACCTGGTTTTAAATATAGATTTCAAAATTATTCTTGGATTCACGCTGTATTGTGCTATAAGGTGGTATATTTTACGCTAACGTAGCATGTATGTTAATGCGGAATGATGCTGTGTAAAATGTAGCTTCTTTGAAAAGATGCTGACTTTTAATTATCAAGGTTGAACTTTAGCACGTAAGAATTTTATTAAGATAATCGTCATGCAAAATTTAATACCTAAGACTTAATAGCAATGACTTATACTATGGCGAAGCATTCTGTTTTGTCCAGGCTCTAAAATTTCGCAGGTTGGTTTTATGTAATGTACCTTTTTCTGCTTTGTACAAAGTAAAAAGAATTGTTGCTAAAATCTGCGATGAATGACAGAATTTTCTTTTCTTTCCCTCTTCCTCTCATCCTTTGCTATACCCTCTCCTTTTCCTCTTTTCATACCTATGTCTTTAAAGCGTCTGTAGGAATGTGCATTTGTGGAGTACTTATTTGTAGAGGAAAATCAGGAATTTCAAAATACCGTAAAATTCCAAAAATAAGTCCCTCCGTATATATACCCCCCAAACTTGTAACGCAAAAAACCCTCTGTTAAATTGCCCTTCCAAATATAAGCCCCCCTGGGGCTTGTGCTTGGAAATTGCCCTCAAATACAAAGTAAAACAAAGCAAAAATGGTAAATTTCCTTCCAACTATATGGCTAGCCCAATCGATTTTGAAATGCAAATTTCCCTTCATAGATAAGCCCCTCTGAATACAAGCCCCTCCAGAAATAAGCTCCTCAAAAAGAGCCTTTAAAAAAATATAAGCCCCGGGGCTTATTTTCAGAATTTTACGGTAATGTTAGAATCAGTAATTAATACAGAAGGGCTGTTTCCAAAGGTTTGAAACCTTACCTCTTACTCTGGAGGGAGGGGGGAGGTGGGAGGAGGGGGTGGTGCTACTGGTTATGCTATTTTAAAGAAGGGACTTGGAGGGGAGGGGATGGGGCTAGTCCCCTTCTTAATTTTAAGAGCAAACTGAAGCCTTACAGGGTGGAGGGACTTTAGAGATGTTTGGCTAGGGATGTGTTGCTTGGACCCTGGAACCCTTAGCTTATACCGGACTTGGTTCAGCTGAATTTTGCCACCCTAAACTAGACTTAATTCCCAAGATCACTCCCTATCCTAGGGTCACTATTTTCCATAAATTACAGAGGTTGACACTTTCTTTGCTATTACAATAATATGTGCATTTTGTAGGAAAAAGGAGAGTCTGTTATCCAAGAAAGATAGAATATCCCACCTTAACAGCGTTCCAGAACTGACATGTTCTTCAGCAATAAGGTTAGTTCAAGCACAGTACATTAAGCACATTGAAAACCGACCAAAATCATTGGATCAGATTCTTCTTGTAGGTTCAATTGTTGGAACAACATTACATTATTATATTCACTTTCATAAAATAAGGCAGGGTTGTATGTGGTAGTAATTATACATGTGGTCATTTTGTTACTAGTATTTTTCAGCAAAGGTTTGGGACCAACTCTTTAATTGCCTGGTTAAGGTTTATATAATTATTGTATACCATACATGTACTTTACTTGGAGGAATATTATTTTTATTTCACTGAGATGGTTTTGGATATTTAGGTGGCTGTAATGGATCAATATTTAGTAAGGGATCAAAATGTTGTTTTCAAAGGAGGTTAATGTTTACAATCAATTAATTTTCTGTTCCTTGTTGCTACATCAGGAACCTGGGGGAATTTCCCAAGATCTTAGCCATAGCAGTAGACTCTTTGTTATGCAGCTGCGATGATCAAGAATCTGATGTCCGCTTGGTTGCTGGTGAATCTCTTAACAAGCTTATCAAGGTAAACAGGGTTTCAAAGGAAACTGGACTGCTTGTCAATTAAGACAACCATCCCTCAAATTTACTTGACCAGGGCAGTTGAATTCTCATTTTTTAAACTCGAGAAAATGGCTGAATCCTTTTACATGTATTTGGACTTTGATTAATGATTATTGATTGTTGATTGAATAATGATTATTGGGAAGTACAGTACCGTAAGTGTGGCGCAGTGGTGCATCAGAGCCCTGGACTCTCACCAATGTGGCCCGCATTCAAATCCCATGGTCGACGCCATATGTTGAGTTTGTTGTTGGTTCTCTCCCTCGCTCCCAGACATTTTTCTTCGGGTACTCCGGTGTTCCTCTGTCCTCAAAAACCAACATTTTCAAATTCCAATTCGACCAGGAATCAGGTACATATACGTGAAGAACCACTATGTGGGTGTGCTCCCTCTAAATCGTTATTTATTTATTACTCCATATTATTTTAATTACAACTATTTTTGTAGAAGATAATACAATAATTGTATTATTATTTACGTGTGTTATACATGTATGCCCATCAGGCTAGTGGCATGAGCTGCATGAAAAGTTACCAGCTCAGCTGAAAAATTTGCTTGAAGATTTTAAACCTAACAGTTTCCTGATTGTTGTGATTGACTAAAATTACAATAGGGCAATCAAATATTATGTAGAGTGGAATGTTGCCCATGAGTAACCTAATATGACATGGCGTTTAGTCCCTTAAGTTAAATAAGACTGATACAACAGCTTTGTGTTTTTTAAAAGCAAACAATAGATCAGACGTACATTAAAGTTTGGTAAAAGTAAAACACACACAGGAGGGAACATTTAAATATCAGTGCTGGAAGACTTTCTCTCTCAAACCCTTCATTTTGCACTCATTTATTTTGAACCATACCATTATGCTTTTATACATTGGGTGTTGTAGCGGAGCTCTCGTGCACACTCTCTGTTCACTGTATCCATTTCATTTTCTTAAGAAAAAATATTTAAAACTCACTATTTGAGCTACCTGAGTTGTCAGTGAAAAAGAACGCCTAGCAACAGCTGCTATGCAACAGGTTGGACAACCTAAATATTCTTTGGATAACTAAAACAAGTCTTGTGGTCACCCCAGAGGCAACTTGATATGAAAGAAACTTTTGTCCATGGATGTACCCTGTACCTGTCTTGGGCAACTGAATTGGCCTTTTTTGAGTACTGGTTAAAGTAATACAGGTATGCTAAAGAGGTAATACATGTATGCGTAGGATTTTTTGACATGTAACCCAGAACATGGCTATTTCACATTTTTATTTTTCACTGTACAAATAGGGATTAATGGACTATAGCTTGGGCCGCATACATGTAGAGCTGTACAAAGAAATCAAGAAGGTATGTAAAATTTAATGTTTAGGATCTAGAAAAACTGTTAGATAAAAAAAATATTAAAATATGAAACTGAGATAAAATCCAGAAGAAAGAAGAAGTACATTGTAAGAAGAAGCAAGGTGAAGTGGACTTCCTACTTTGTCTAAACCTATACCTCTTCACTCAAGCTCATTCTCTTCTTAGAATTAGGGGGGAGGGTGGGTCTAGTAAAAAGATGTCAAGTGAGTTCTGATAAACTCCTAGATTCTCCTTTGAAATTGCCTTATGTTTGCTTGTGAAAGAAATAGAGAATTTGTTTTTCCACACACCCTTCCCAAGAGGGGCTCCCATACATAAGATGATAACCCATAAGTCATTATGAGGCACAATAAAATATGGTTCTTTAACCAAAGGTCATAGGAAGCACCCTTTGTTAAAAAAAATACCTTATTTAGTTTCCTTTTTTACAAAATAGTTCAATGTGTTCTCACACCATAACAAATTATTGTATTAATTTTTTAGAATGGCTCAGCAAGAAGTTTGAGAGCTGCTTTATCGAGGTTTGGTGACCTGTGCCATTTGATAAGACCTCAGAAATGTCGGTAAGCTGCCTGACAAGGCTGATAAAAATTAAAAAAAACCTTTAGTCATTTTGAGGAGGTTTCAAGGATTATGAATAAATAATTATTCCACTGTCAAATCACTGGACTTCCCTGGGACCAGAAAAAATGCAGCGTTTTTATTATTGTACCGGGGTGTTGATTGCAGTGATGTTACAAACTTTGAAACTGGCCATTGAAGTTAGCAAATTGATCATAACTTATGGAATCCCTTGAGGCATGTCCAAATGCTTCAGTCGATCAGTCAGTCAGTCAGTCAATCAATCAATCAATCATCTATTTACTGCATCCACCTATCATCCAATGAACTAACAAGCTTGTTCAAAATATGTACAATTACATGTAAACATAACATCTACTTAAAAAGAGAGAATTTAAAGAAATTCAAATGGGTTAATGAACTGTATCATACATGTGTAGAAACTACAAAAGCTACACTTGTATACATGTACTAGTACACAGTAGATGAACCATTACGGGGGGTGTCTGTTATGTCCATTTTGTTAGATTAAGTGCAGAAAATAAATTGCAGGTCAAATTGATGTAGTTCCTTTCAGCCCTAGTCCCTCTTGGTCAAAATAGCCTTAGCAGCACCTCACGGAAGTGAATGTTTAAGTCCCCAATACATCAACAAGGCAAAATACACTGATCAAACCAGTTGGAAACATTTGACCTAAAGTTCCTATTGAAATAAGCACTGCAACAAATTCCAAATTTTATCAATGGAAATAATATTATTTACAAGCCCTATAGAGAGGGTGGTAAAGGTTATTTTTGTGACTCGTGATCGGCCCCTTTTTTTTC